AAAGGATGATTTTCCCCTTTCCCTCTATCTTGGACACCTCTGTAAGTTGGACACATTATCGTGGAACCGCAAGTGTCCAAGTTAGAGAGGTTTTACTGTACCAAGATACGGTTTTGAGGTCATTCAGAATGGCCCAACCTCCACATCAAATTTTATCCAGAACCGTCCAGTGGTTCTCGAGTTGAATCGAGTTGACAGACGGACGGACAGACACGACCAGCCCCTAATACGTCCTCGCTGTGCACTTCGTGCAGACTCTTAACAACTGTTCCACGCTAATTGGCCACTAGCTCTCCACCAGATCGAAAACATATTCAGTAAAAGTGCGTATGTAATGAAAGAAGACAGGTGATTTATATTCGATTATATCTTGATGTAAGTTATCGAGATCTGCCGACTGTACGGAAGGTAAAATCAAAAACAAATTATGGCAGCGGGCAAAATGAAATATGCTCATGAAATTCTGCTTTAGTATTACAAAGAATACCCCCAAAATAGAAGAGAAGTATAAAAAATGGAGTCCGCAATGGCCGCGCTGTCTGAGGCGTGGGTTCGAATCCCACTCAAGCCATGGATGTTTGTCTGTGTTTTTATGTGTTGTGCTGTCCTGTGTACAGGTAGAGGCCTTGCGACGGGCCGATCCCTCGTCCAAGGAGTCCTACCGAATGTCTACAGATCAAGCCAACGTAAAGTTGGGGCCCGCAGTGCTCAGGCACTTGAAGAACGGGTCGTTCTCAGTATCCCCAGTATAAAGAATGTAATTCTATAAAAATTAACTCGCGCGAGGGAAGCATAAAATATTGCACACTGTGACTGGTAGTATTATTGGTTGATAGAGGGCCGGTTTAGACGGAAGGAATTCTGGTTCCTGCTCAGCTAAGACGCTACGCTTTCAGGAAGTGATTTCAGTTAATGAATAACAGTGAGTTACTACGGACGTAGGTCTAGAAGGAACTGCACGTCACACCACTGTTTAAGGTATTTGTTCTAACACTCTATTTTCTTGAAATTAACATACAGTAATACATTCTGTTGACAGTACGGTCCACTGCACACATAAATCTATTATTTAACAATTTCTGATAAAATTTAATTAATTGGAAGACCTGACTCCGAGACTATAAGAAATAGTTATCTCTACTTTTAAAATATAGATTGACGGTGTTTAAGGAAATTACACAGTGAAATCATACAGGTCTCTTACCCAACCACAGGCCCATAGTGTAACCAAACTGTAATTTCGGTAAAATTGTGTCTAATTCGATGTTTCGTTAGAACTGAGTTGTTATTAGTTAAAATATATGAGGTATGAAATACAATACATGTACTTAAATTATTTCTAGTCGTTAGTTTTTACTTGGCTGACACAAGTTTTTACCATGAACATGGGGGTAGTATGTTTCTCCGAAACTCCGAAAACATCTTACACTATTAAAAAAGCTTAAACTGACAAATGATTAAAACATTCTCTGCATGTTCAAAATTTCTTTGGTTTATTGCTGCTGTTATTATTATTATTATTTTATAATAAATGCGCGTTCTTAACGTTACTAACATTACGTCTCGCAAAACATAGTCCTATCTTTGCAGACCGTGAAAGGCGAAGAAATTTAAAAACAAATCATCTTATACCATTTTACGTAAAATAATCGACGAAATACTGCCATTAAAAGAACAAGACAAATGAATTGTGATTCATATTTCTGTCCTGTACGATACTTTCTATTTTTAACTGTTGCATGAGATACATGGCTACTTCTGATTTCCATAGGATTCGCCTCGTTGCAATGCGCAACAACTAGCATTTTATGTATTTATTTTAGAAAATAAATGTACCGCCGTTATAATATGTTTATAAATACTATATTCAATAATTTATGGAAACTTCATGGAAATTGTGGTCATTTGAAGGTTAAAATGGCTACATGACAGACTGTCGAATCTCAAATGACAACCAGACAAGTTTATAGTAGCGCTGTAGAAACATGATATAATCCATTCAATTTAATGTTTACCTTTAATAGCAATCAATCGGTGTTGTAGTCAGTTGCAGTGTATTTAGGCATATATTTATTTATACTTTATAAAAAACAGTAAACAAGAACATAGTTGGGTTGTAAACACAAATACGTAGCTACTGCATGCCCTGTGATATCGTCAAAGGCTCCGCAAAAGGAAATTATTAACGGCTGACAAACAAACTTAAAATGTAAACATATTGACTAAAATATCCAACTCGTCGAACGTATGTTGGTGTGTGCA